TGCTTCATCTCCAGTACAGTTTAGTTTATACATGCCAATTGGCCACTCATAATCAACAAACATCCCATGAGTAGCCACTGCATGCATACTTATGTTTAGGCCTTTCAAACTTTACCATAGCGTGAGTATCCAAGCTGAGAGCAAATTACAGTAGCTTCTTTGTCAGTCCAATAGCTAGCACAGATTGTAGTCCATATGTTATTAATACACACTTCAACTCTTCCCCTTAGGACAGCATTATCACCTAATCTAATCTCACCATTAGTACAGTTACCTATTATAAATGAAAACAACATATATATAGTTAGTGTATTTTACTTACGTTCACAGGTGACCCCGGCATCATTATGATGAGAGCAAGTAGTGGCATCACATGATCTTGTCCTACACTCTATTAATGATTCCTCATTACCAGTACAATCAACACTAGCCATCAGTATTGGACCAACTCCTGGACCAAAATGATCACCACCAGATCTTGCTCTTCCACCTATAATAATTAAATATTGAATTTAATCACATCATTATACAAACCCATTGGTAGATATCCTAATTGTTTACAGACTACATTAGCGTCAGTATTAGTCCAGCCATTAGAACAGACAGTACCCCATGCTTTATTAATACACACTTCAACTCTTCCTTCATGAGGACCACTACCATTAACCAATCTTATCATACCATTAGTACAATTAGATTGTTGCACAGTTTCTATAAATATAACCATCATCACCAAAAATGTATTTCATAATAATTATAATTACCTTGACAAACTAAGCCAGCATCATTATGTGACTTGCAGTTGTATAAATATGGACTGCTGTGTGTACAGTTAAAAATATGTTCTTCTGACCCGTTACAACCAAGATTTGTGATACCAAATGACAGCTGTCTCTCAGTATAGCAATTGTATGTTGGTATAGCACCTGTGCATTAACATGAATTAATATAATACTGGTAATCGAACTGCATTAACCATATGAAGAGTATCCAAGTTGTCTACAAGTCACTGCAGCATCATTAAAGTCCCATGTTTGATCACACAGTGTAGTCCATGTTCTCTCAACACACAGTTCAACACGACCAGCATATGTCAATGATGATCCACTTAATTTTATATCACCATCATTACAGACTTCTGTTTTTATTATTTAAAGATGAAAAACATGTTTACTTATGCTTACCTAAGCATACAACACTTGCTGCATTAGCAGTACCACAATCAGTAGAAATACTGCTTTCAAATCTATGATTGCAGCCTATTAGTGAACTGTCACTACTGGAACAAGAAACACGTCTCATAACAAATGGTGCCTGCCCTTCTCCATAATAACTGGTGCGCACAGGTACTGATCCTAAAATTAGTGCAAATGCAAACAGAGTCTTGGATTTGATACATGTACCTGTCATCTGATGGCCTAGCTGTTTGCAAACAACATTAGCATCAGTTGTATCCCAGTAATGGTCACAAATAGTTCCCCACATTTGATTGTAACATATTTCAACTCTCCCTTCATACTCATTGGGACCACCAACTAATCTAACATCACCAGTTGTACATGAAGTATCAACAGTAGCATCATTAGCTAATAAAATTAGGATAATAACTGATTTAAAATTCCAGCAGCTTACTCTGACATATCACATATGCAGCATTTCCATAGTAGCAGTATTGTGAAGTACTATTATTAAAGGAGCATTCCCAAATTCTTGATTCTGTTCCAGTACAGTTTAAATTATAAAACTGCACATGTGCACCATTAGAATAATAATAGTTATTAGGAGTATGCAAAACACCTACCAGTAAGGAAAGTACTTAAAGAGACATGTAAAGCAATATCTACCATAACGTGAGAATCCCAATTGAGCACAAACTACACTAGCATCAGCATCATCAAACCCAGTGTTACAGATAGTCCCCCAAACACCATTTACACATACATTAATCCTACCAATAGAGCTATAACCTGAACCTGATAGCTTAATATCACCATGAATACACTTATCTGTAAGAATGTAATCAATTAAGCCTTAAGTACAAATTATATTACCATGACAAGTTACTCCTAAATATTTATAGTTATTAGTGGAATAACTTCTGTAACAATTGATAGCTCCTTTTGAACAATTCAACAGAGAACCCATGATGCTAGAGCAGTAGAACTCAAAGGGAAATAATGGAAGGCCGGGATAATCCAGAAATGAGCTAGAATATCCTGGAGCACCTATAGTAAGCATAATTATGATAATACTAAAAAAACATAACAGTTTGTGCTTACTTTGTGAATGACCCATTGAGTTACAAACAGTTTCAATATCATAGTAATTATTATAGTTATCAGCACATATTCCAAACCAAACATGATTGTAACATAATTCAACTCTTCCTTTCATTTTGCTTGTTCCATTAGATAAGCAAATTCGACCATTAGCACAATCAGAATACTCCACAGCAAAACCTGTGTATTTTGAAAGTTTAAGCTTCATTATAAAAATGACTACCATGACAAGCAACTGATACATCAGTGTTTACAGTGCAGGATTCCTGTCCTTGTGTACTTGAGGGGCAATCCCATATACTCTCTTCATTACCAGTACAATTAAGATT